GTCTTGATTTAAAAGTCCAGAGTCCACTCAGTCTGAGACCGAGTAAAAATGCTTTTGATTCCGAGGCGAGACCGACACCTTCAAAAAGTCAATTCTCCGATTTGGAGAACTACAACTCTATTCTGCACCAAGACACATTCCTTATGTGCTAACATACTTGACAATAAACTTAATTCTGCCTCTGAGTCCAAGACTTCTTCAAATTTAAACCTGATTTCAAAAACATTAAAATCTCCTGAGAGGATTTTTTTCTGTCACCATTAGTGACAAAGATTATATATCTTCTTCAGTCTCTTTGGGCACAATCACACTAGGCCATCCATAGCATGCCCAAGCACGGTACACTTCATTGGCCCTTCCTGGCATGCTTCATCACGGTACAGCTGCTCATGCACGAGCACAAGCACAGGTACATCGAGTGTTCTGGATGTATCCGACAAAAATGACTCCACAAAGTCAGTAATATTCTCTGCAGACTCGACTGTGCGTCCCTTTTTTTTTTTTTTTTTAGTCTGCCTGTCTTACAAACTTAGCACGCTTCATGATCACATAAAGCCATGCATGTGTTGTAGTCTGACGTTATACAAGAGGTTACTGTTACCGTGCTCAGACCCGGTTAGTCCTGGAGCGGTGTGAGTGCAGGCCAGCGGAGGAATGAGGAGGGGTGGTGTGTCTATGCCCTTAGCCTGAGCTGTTGTATCCGTACCATACAGAGACAAGCCGTCTTCTTTTTTTAAAAACTGAAGGCTGCTGTGTGAACTAGAGCTGTTAAGCTGCACGATGACCTCGACCCGTGGCCAAAGTTACATAGTGCGGTTAACAGGCGATCAGGCTGTAGACACAGAGAGATGCAACTCTATTACATCGATCTACTATTTGAAGGTGGAAAGTGACATGTTGTAGCTTTCAGTAATGTCATTTATAACTGTTGAGAAACAATGTTGCATGAAAAAAACTTTAACTCTGAACATTGTCGGGTTCGCTGCATCCAGCTGGTTTTTCTGCCCCTCTCGCATGCCTGCAGGCAACAAGCAAGAGTCCCTTAAATCAATACTTGAGCTAATTGCTGTTGGAGGTGAATGGAGGGGCCCTGGTTACAGCAATAGGATCAATGTTTATTGTATGGATGAGCCGCCAATTGTGCCTGAGTAAACTCAAATTAGAGTATTTTTGCCCGATTTACATATGAGTGGCAGCGAGACAAAGACTAAGTAATCCTTCCATGCTGGGCTGCAGGTGTAAAACAAAACAGCGCGGGGACGTCTTTTAAAGGTTATTAACAGGAAGACTAGTGTTGTAGGACAGCGGCATGCTGGGCTAAGTACGGCACGACGTCTATAGGGCCTGAGGTGAATCACGGCCTTCCTCCACCTACAGAGTTACACGGAGCACCAGCGGCTGATGAGGATGAAATCAGATTAGCATGGTGGCTTCTTTTTAGCAAAACCACAAAGTGTCATCGATAAACTTTTTTCAACTTGCAGAAAAACTAATGAATCTAATAAATGAGATGTCCCCTTTAATAAATGCATAAAAAACTGATCTGTTGGGCACTGCATGAGCACATAGTCTTCTTAATAACAAACATGATCATGCACAATAAGCAGTCAGACTTTTCATGGTCTCTTTTATGCTTTTTGTTTCACTTCATGTGCTCACAATCGTTTTCAAGCTCTCTCAGCGTTTCTTTAAATCAATGTGGCGACTTCAAAGTCCGAAGAGAGCGGCTAAAGCAGATTAAAACGTGGCTACAAATGAACAGACTGAATCAATTCTGCACGACTAACTTTGCCTTTATGCAAATCTGATCTGATTTGAAGACTGGAGTACATGTGTTCAGTACTTGAATACATCTTTGTAAATCTACATAATTCAAGGGTCTTGAATTTGATTTTAAAGTGTGCAGCGACCCTTTGAGCCTTTCTATTCGATCATGAATGTTGATCATCCATCCTGGATTTTCAGAAGATAATTAGGAACGCTTATATACAGGGGCGGCTGTGGCTCCACCTCAACTGGTAGAGTCGTCGTCTCTCAACAAGTCAGTGCTCTCACAGTCAGTCGCTTTAAGATACTTTAGCGAGTGACTTAGACGTGTTAAAGACTTCTTCTCACAGCTGTAGGAGTTGTGTGACTAAAAACTATGATTTGCATGATTGTTAGAAAATATAGTGCAAAACATTTTTATCACAAGTCTTAATTAATATCCAATCTGACGGGAAATCTTGTTCAACTTAAATCACATTTTTATGAAAAAATATTTTATGAGGCAAGGCTAAATATTCTTAGGACAGTTTGTGAATAAGTTTGAAGGGATGTTGAAACTTTTGAGGCTGAGAACAAACTCAGAAAATGATTATAGTCATTGTAGAGGTCGGTATACGGGCCAGTGTACAACGAAATTCTGTTGCACTACCTGAGCAGAGATCTAATAGGATAAGGCAAAGTCTTGAAGTTTTAAATATTTTAGTTAAAATGAACACACACACGCAGACAAGTTCATATCATGCATGCACAGGAACGACTTATGAAGGACAGCAAGTAAATCAAGTAATATCACTTGTTCGATAGATAAATGAAAGGGTTAAAAAATGGGTTTGAAGTCTTTCTAAAAAGAGCATTATTCAGTAAATGAGCACATGTCCACATCCCATCATGACCCCAAACTTAACGATATAGAATCCAATGATGACGGCTTTAGATGTTGTCGATCCAAAAATAAAAAGAGCTGCAGGAAGTTTGATATAAATCATATCAAGGTATTTAAAAACAGAGAATAAGGGGCGTCGATGGCCTTGAAGTTGTATCGTGCGCCCCATGTACACAGGCTATAGTCCTCGTCACAGCGGCCTTGGGTTTGAAATCTGGACTCGGCCCTTTGCTGTAAGTCGCCCCCCCCTCTGTCTCATCCAAAAACTTCCTGTCTCTCCACAGCTGTCCTATAAAGGCAAAAATGCCCAAAACATATCTTTAAAAAAAAACCCCACTGGGAATAAAACACAGTCTTTGGTGTAGTTTGCTGACATAAATCTTAACTGTGCATGCCGAGTTTAAAGAAATCTTGATTTTTTTTTATTTTTTAAATGTTTCTGCTGCACGTGAATTCTAAATAATATTTTTTGTTCATTTCTTATTTATTTACAACACAAGATAAATAGAATCTATTATCTAAATAGACAAAAATAAAACATTAAAAGTCATGGCTCTGACTTAAAGTTAGACTCATAAATGTTTCACATGTGGTCGGGTCATTCGTTTCTATTGGTGACTTTGCGGTGTGCTAATTATGCATAGGACAGGTTTTTTTGGGGGGTATGCCTTTATTTAGAGATAGAACAGTGGATAGAGACAGTAATAGGGAGAGAGAGAGACTGTACAGGGTTGACTCTTTTGATAAACCATCTATTTTGATTTGATGAAGGATGAGATTTATTCATAATAAGGCGTGTAGCTGACATGATTGACAGGTGGTTTGTTTAGAGACTTAAACCCCGCCCCAGCTCCAGCTCTCAGCCTGTTGTTAGCTTTACTGAACATTAGGCTGAGACAGGATTTCCAGCATGGCGACCGCCACCAACAGGCTTCCAAAGCCCCCTGCAGGAACATACGGGTGACCTCACTCAGGCTTCGTCCATTAATATTTACAGTATCTGATTTAAATGTGTTTTTTTTCATGCATCCGGATCTTTGAACTGTCGATGCGTGCAATAAATTCAAGATCGTGAAGTACAGCTTGGGGAAGAATGCAAATTATTTTATTAGATATGCATAGAGGTAATGCAATAATTATATTATTAATTGCAATTCTATTTTTATTTATTGCCCATGTAAACTCCCCTCCCCCTTTCAGGTAAAATGGCCCCTGCAAACACATGAATTGAACGCGGCCAAAGAGAAGCTGCTGCTCATTGTAACTCCCACACAACAACACTGCTGTGGATTCCAGCAAACTCCTTGTAGGCCTGCCTGTGCCTCTTTAGAGAAAAAAAAAGCCTCTTTTCATTTGTCCGTGTGTATACCTCTGTCCAGGCTAAAGTCTTTTTTCCTTTCCCCTCTCTCCCTCTTTAATCCGTCCTTCCATTTCAGGAGGGGAAGAAAAAAAAACACAAAACCAGGTTCACGCAGCGCTTTAGTGGCTAAAAGTGAAAGAGCTTCTTTTTTTCTCTCTCTCTCTTCTTCCCTGCGCTGAGTTGAGCCTTGAATCGCTCTGGAAAATTGTTTCTTTTCAATAGGAGGGAAAGGAGGAACAGCGTTTAATAGGATCCAAAGGAGTCTGCGCTCTTAAACAGGTGGAAATTGGACGTCCTCGAATTTATACAAATAGTAAGTAAGTATATAATCCGGCGTGGAAAAGGAGGGCTCATCTCAGAGGATTACCGAAAACATTTCCCAAAGTGAAAAAAGAAAAGAAAAAGAAAAGATTAGGGTGTTAACAAAATAAAGCAAGAAAATCGAGCTTCAGGTGTCTTACAAAAAAAATGACAACTACATTTCTGATCGTATTTCTTTCTTTATTTGGTTTCATATTTTGCCTGAGATGACATATGGTGGCCTTTCAAGCTCGTGCCAGCCCCTGTGTGGATTTATTTGAGAGGGTGGCAGGTTGATGAGGGCGTCTCCCTTGTCACCCAGTTAAGAGTTCGGGTGCCCGCTGATGTCAGGAGACAGTGATCCGCGCTGATGAGGGGCGGGCGCTGCCAGTGTGTGACAGAGAGCAGTCGGCTGGTTTCTCCACACCCACCGGACCATTAAAGAGCTAAACTCCCAACACAGACTCAACTTTACACTCCTGCATCCTCCAGGAGCTCCGACTACAACATTTTTTTTTCCTGCCTTCTCTTCTTCTTCTTCTTCTTCTTCCTCCAAACGAGCTCAGTAATGTCCTGTTAATTTTGTGTGCACTAGTTAATGAGCATTAATCCATCACCCCTGGATGCTATTGTTGCGGGGTGGGGGGGGAGGGAATGGCCATTTGAATGCAAATGCGTGACACTGTGACAGCAAGGTGCTTATTAAACTGATGTGTCCTCCTGTCTGCGGTGCCGGGAGCTCAGCAGAGTGAAAGGACGCGGGGCAGCTGCAGGAGCGGATTCGGACTCAAAAGCACCGGGACTTTTCTCACGCCAAGTTTTCTGCTCTGCTGTAAACAAAACAACAACAAAAAAGAGGAACAACAAAATGGCAAGTTCTGCCTCTGTGGAGACCGTGATGTCTTGCGGGAGGACCGGACCCTCCGCGGCTCCAAAGACCCTGGCCTTCTCCATAGACCGGATCATGTCCAAGAGCTCGGAGCCGAAGGGGAGCGCGGAGGAGCGGGCGGAGGGGAAGAAGCTGCTCGGGCTCTGCTCCCCGATCCCCTGCATGATCCCGCTGCAGCCCTTCAGCTACGACCTGCAAGCCAAGGCGCTGATGAACTACTCGGAGTTGTGGAGAGCCAGTTTCAGGGGCACTTTTTGCGGTTCCGCGGCCGCTCCGTGCAAAGGGAACTGCGGCATGTGCGGCAAAGTGGAGTCGGGTTTGAAGCAGCCGCTGCTGAGTTCGGGGAGCAGGGTGGTGAAGCCGCAGGTGATCCACCAGGCCGTGGCCGTGCCAAGCGCCGGCTCGCTCTACTACCTGAACTACCTGGACTCTGCGTACCAGCAGTCGGAGCTGCTGGCCGGACACTGGTTCTCCAGCTCGCAGGCGCAGGCCTCGCTGTCCGCGCATCACAGACTCTTGCTGCTGGAGAACGCCAAGCTGGCCGGTGTGGGGAGCGAGAAGCTACCCACTCCGCAGTACCCGCACAAGGAACATCTGCCCGGGCAGCTGGACCAGATCGTGAAGGAGAACCACGGCCTGAGCGCGGAGAAGAACGGCGTCAAGACGCACAGCAAACTGAGCAGCAGCCCCGCGGACGGAAAACCAAAAAACTTTACGTGTGAAGTCTGTGGAAAGGTATTTTCATTCATACGAGTCTGTTTTACTTCTGAGACTGCTGTCGGCTTATGTTTGTGCTGTTTTTATTTTCTACTAAAATGTATCCTATAATTATAATTAAATGTTTCCCTTTTTCATTTTCTAAAAAAAACCAAAAACAATCATTAAAATTAAATGTTAGAATCCACTAAAATAAAAATGAAAATGAAAAACGAAAACGTACAAAATCAAGAATTATCATGAAGCCTTAATTTAACGAAAATGAAAGAAAGAAACTCTAAATTAAATCTTTTCACGCTCTGATGTCTTAGAAGCAACTCAAGTAAAAATCGCTGTTGTTGCCATATTAATTCCTAATAATTTATTTGGTGTGTTTGTGTTCTCTGCAGGTTTTTAACGCGCATTACAATCTGACCAGACACATGCCGGTGCACACCGGGGCTCGGCCCTTCGTCTGCAAAGTGTGCGGGAAAGGATTCCGTCAGGCCAGCACGCTGTGCAGACACAAGATCATCCACACGCAGGTGAGACGCGCTGGTTTTTTAAAAATCTTTTTATTTTAACCAGCAGCACAAAAAATACATCTGTGGATTTTCCTTATTTTTATCTAATTTGTTAACGTCATCTTGTTGCTTCAGGAAAAGCCTCATAAATGCAACCAGTGCGGGAAGGCGTTCAACAGAAGCTCCACGCTCAACACTCACGTACGGATCCACGCCGGGTACAAACCTTTCGTCTGCGAGTTTTGCGGGAAAGGTTTCCACCAGAAAGGTAAATAATCAACATGATGTCATCTTTAAAAAAAAAAAAGAAGCTCTGCATGACCCGGATTAGTATCTGATTTATGATTACAATATTTCAGATTTTAATGAAGAGTTTCCTCCTTTTTTTTGGATTCAACTCCGAATTTTGTTTCCTCTGAAATTATTTTGATATTACAAAAAAACCTCGATGTTTAGTGTTTGGTCTTCATCTCATATTTTTTAAATCTTGATTTTTTTTTTTCTTCTTGATTTGGAATATTATGCGTCCTTAAAACTATTTTTTAAAACCAGACCAGGAATTATTTAACAGTTCATTAATTTATTTGAACAAAGAAGAATCATATTTGTCTTCAACGTTTATCGGTCTGAAGTGATTGTAAAATAATTCCTGCACTGTGAGTAGAAATAATCTGACATCTTTGGATACAATAAGATTTTTAGAGCTCATTGAGTGACAGTTTTTGCCAATTTGGTATCAGGATTCTCTTTTTGCTGATGCACTTAGACTTTGAGTTTAGGGATTCTGTGCTGTCATTCCCGTGTGTTTAACTTGGCATGAGGAAACAGGATTTTTTTTTTTAAAACAAAGACACTTCCACAGTCCTTAAGGGGTGCAGTGGTTTGGATTAAATGATGTGTGTGTGTGTGTGTGTGTGTGTGTGTGTGTGTGTGTGTGTGTGAGAGAGAGAGAGAGAGAGAGGACACATTCCTGTGCTACTGCAGGGAGTGAGCTCACTGTGAAGGAATCCTCAGAGCTGCAGAAATTTAAAAAAAAGAAACAGTACTAAAAACAGAAGCATATGCTGCTGCTGCTCTGAGTGATCTGAGAGTTTAATGAAAGGGGAAATAATTGCAGGCCCCGCGATGAGACTGAAGCGATCAGTGGAAATAGGACATGTCACTTTTCCACGGACTAATTCTCCCTCGGAGACGGCAGCATTTGCTCTGGGTCAGCTGCTGCAGACCCCGGCACAGTCAGAGGAACCGGGGAACCTCTTTTTGTGTTCACTTGTCGCTTTGCGCTTGATTTTGACAAAGTTTGACAACTTCTTGACTTCGACACACAAAACCCTGATTAATGAAGGCTGGACAAGAGAGCAAAGGAGCGAGTGAACTGCTGACCTTGGCAGGGTGAGAGAGAGAGAGAGAGAGAGAGAGAGAGAGAGAGAGAGAGAGAGAGAGAGAGAGAGAGAGAGCGAGAGAGAGAGAGAGAGAGGTCTCTTTCATCCTCACTTTCTTCTGAGGTTCCTAAACATCACACCGTCCCCTCCTCCTTAATGCAACACTTTAAAATGATCCCGCGATATTTCCTCTGGAAAAGGATCTATTATTATTATTATTATTATTATTATTTTTTTTTTTATTGCAATTCCTTTTTTATGCAATTGTCATTTTTGTGTGTGCACATTTTCTATAATCAAGTGTTATCAGTGACTTTACTTTGACCTTATTTAGTTTAAAGAACTATTACAATAAACCTACAACATGCATGAAGGCTGAAAAATACAAAAAATCTTTAGATAATTTGGTAGTGGAAATAGGCTGTTATATATTTATTTATTTATTACCGTGTAGGAAAAGTGCCAACAAAACATGACTATGACAGGATGATGGAGGGAGATGAGCAAAGCTACAGAAAGAGCAAAGACATCAGTAACAAAGACAAATAAATTAAATGATATGAGTGAAACATTTGCAGAAAAAAAAAGAAAAGAAACAACTGTCAATTTATAAAGTTAGAATAAAAGAGTGATCAGAGGGAAGGACCCGAGTATCAAAGAGTGCAAATATTTAAAAACCACGGTGTCCTGAATGTGTGCAGGTGTATGCATGTGGTGTTTTGAATTATTTGTTAAAACAGCTTTATGCTAAAAAAAAAAAAAAAAAAAAGGCACCGGCTGCATCATTTCTACAAGAAGAAAATGAACGTCTGATATGTTCAGAATGTGCAGAGGAGTTGTATTAAAGCTGCAGAGCTTGATTTGATTGATTCACAGAGCTTCTTATTGATGCCCCGTGAAACCTTACAGGTTGTGTTTAGTCAATAAAAAAAGCTTTTACACTGTCAATAACACACTTTAGGACATTAACCTTGTATATTATTAGTGTTTGTTGCTTATATTATGTTTAATGTTTAACTTTGTACATTGAGAGCACAGTTACTGAAGACAAATTCTGTGTGTGTGTGTGTGTGTGTGTGTAGCTGATTCTATTCTATGAGATGATGCAGCTTTGTTGTGATGTTATTCACACCCTTCATCAAGAACGTTCCTTTAATGTTTAGGGGTTGTGTTAAAGTTTGGATACAGGAAGTTAAAATAGCAAAGAGCTGGCTCAGACTTCTCCTTGAGTCACACCGCTGGTTAGACATAATGTTGAAGCCATGACTGAACAAATGATGAGACTGTGTCGTTAAGTTTTGGTCATTTTTGTGATCAGATCATACATTCAATTTGCCTCCTACACCTTGCAGGTAACTCAGTGTTTATCTTGACTTCCTCTTATACTCATTGTCGCTCTCTCTCTTTTTCCCCAGGAAACTACAAGAACCACAAGTTGACGCACAGCGGGGAGAAGCAGTACAAGTGCTCCATCTGCAACAAGGCCTTCCACCAGGTCTACAACCTGACCTTCCACATGCACACGCACAACGACAAGAAGCCCTTCACCTGCGCCACCTGCGGCAAGGGCTTCTGCCGCAACTTTGACCTGAAGAAGCACATCAGGAAGCTGCACGACAACAACGTGTTCAGCGCGGCCAAAGAGGCCTCCAGAGAGCTGCAGAGCTGAGGGTCACTGCTGCTGCTAATGTCCCAGAATGCATTTCATTTATTCCACCTGCAGGCTAAAGGAGGCCACAAAAAAAAACAAAAAAAAAAACAGACTGGCCCACGGCCCGCTTTTTGTAGCCTGGATGGACAAGTGTTTTAAAAGCCTAGCACAGGTGGAATATTCTGGTAATATGTGTCCCAGCATGCACCTCTGCAGGGGGTCACAGAGCGGACCAGAAGACTACAACAACACGTACACTTAACGCACACTATAGGAATATAAAAGGGGATTGTTCTCTTCCTGCACAGTCACAAGCATCACACAGGGGGAGGCGCCGTCCGTCTCCACGATGGACGTGTAAATAATAGGCTATGGAAATAAAAGAATGTTATTTAAAATGTGAATCATCGCCATGTTGTGTATCTCACAGACAAAAATGTTAATGTGAATAAGTTATAACTTATAATGAAAAATGAATGTTCGAGCCATGTCGTTTTCTTTTTTGTTTTTGTTTTTTCTGGAAGGTATTTGAAATAAATCGAATAATATGATGACAGTTGTTGTTTGAGTAAATGAATGATGTTTTTTGTCTTCATTGGTGCAAGACATGGCAACATTTTGCACGAGCAAATTCCAATTTAAAGACAAATGCAAAGAATCCAGATGTGAGGACTTAACTCAAACTAAGCAAACCAAAGGAGGTTGTTTAAAATGAAAAAAGAAACTTTAAAAAGTAATCAAATAATCAGAAAATGGCAATAATTTAAGAACGAGTTGATTCATGAGCTGATGAGTTTGTAGAATTGTTTGTTTTCTCATGTTAGAAATTATTCTGTTTTATCTTTTTTTATTTTTATGACGGATTTTTTAAGTCTATGATTTCATTTGATCATTTTTGTCCGCCCCCTCTCATGCATGACACCTCAGACTCAATCATCAATGCATAGCTTTAAAAATATCAGATTTTTTAGAAACAGATGTAGGAGGAGAACAGTGAAGAATTCTTAATGATGCCTTCAATGTCTACTCATAAATCATACATTTAGCTGCAGAGGCATCTGTCTGCTAAACTTGGTTGTTGCTGAAGCCACATATAGACTCAGCCTGGCTCCACTGTATACTCTGCAGCCACTTTGCCTCAACATTTATTGACAGACACGATCTTAATAATGCAGCATTTACACTTGACTCGAGCGTAATGGCGTAAGTGATCAGAGATAACATGGGCCCTTGAAAAGCGAATTACATTAAGCAGTTAAACGGCCTGGGGGAGGCTTGATTGGGGGGACTGTCGCATCCGGAGCCGCTCATCAGAGCCGGAGATAATGGAGCACTCAGGCCGCAGCTCCTCATCTGGGCCTCGGCGTTAATGGAGCACAAGTTATTCTCCTCACGGCTCCTGGAACAATATTATCCCTGCACACATTCTGTCGAGAGGCAGCTCCGTGCTCCCAAATGGCGCTCTTTCTATTAACAGCCAATTAGTGCCGAGCGGGGCCGGCAGGCCTGCAGAGGCCTGGCAGGGCTGATATTACCAGACACAGCCGCGCTCACCTGGTTCACATACCGAGGGCGTGTGCGGAGACGGACAACATAAAGAAACGTGTAAATGTGGACTTATCCCGGCGACACAGTTTGATTGTATGTCGATTTAAAGTCAGTGTTTACATGGACGTCGTAGTGGGGGGAAAGTGGGACTGACTACCCGGGGCCCCAGGGGAGGAGGAGGGGGCCTCATTGGGCCTGGAATGAATCATTAAACTCTTAAGAAAAGGTAAACCTGGCCTCATAAATGAACACGATTGTTAACTCTCTCTTAACTCTTAAAAGTCCTATATTGTAGAAAACTTAAAGATTATTCATGTAATAATAATAATAATAATACATTTTATTTAAAGGCGTCTTTCAAAACTCTCAAGGTCACCTCACCTCACAGAGATAAAAACAACAAAGTAACAACACAACGATCAAATTAACATTAAAAACACAAATGTACAGGATGTAAAGGAGCTATGAGACCGGGTGGAGAGTGATCAGACTGACTATGACAGTTTAATGTGTTTAGAGATGAGATTTGTGCCAAAAACGTGCACAATTTCCAACGTTGAATTCATTTTTATGGTTTAATTTAAAATGCAAACGAGGTTTCAGGGGGTAACATATAAAGTCTGGTTGATTTAAAGAAGTCAAGATACCTGAATTTTTAAACTTTGACATGATACTAGTAAAAAAAAAAAACAGTATTGATTTCTGATTCGATACCACGGCAACAGATATATAAAAATTCCAGACACTGAAAATCTGATAATTTCTTGTTTTTGATGATCAGATGTTGCAAGAAGAAACCTGCACACTGTCTAGAATATACAAAAACATCGACAACGCTTCAGTGCGCAATGTTTTCTTTCCTGTACACCTGACTTAGGAAAAAGATTCAGTTTTGTTTTTTTTAAAGCTTCAGTACGTTTTGATACTTTTGATTGTTAAAATAAAAGAGAGACTGGGGACCGATGTGGTATCTTTCCACGGGGCTCAATATCATAATAGGGCCTAATATGGTACCTTGTCATGGGGCCCAATGTGATATCTTTCAGGTTCAAGTGACTTTATTTGTACGCGCAGATTTGTTTGCAACCGACAACCATGGGGGCCCAATATGAAATCTTTCCAAGGGGCCCCTGAATGTTTACCCTCTGAAGTTGTCAGAAGCTCAGAGTCTCTCAATGTGCACGTGCAGCTTCCAGGCTGTTCACATTCAGCTGTTTGGTGATGAGACGCCTCTTGATGTCAGCGATAGAAAAAAAAAGTCGAGCTGATGAAGAGATGAGTTGCACGCCATGATTGAAGGAATGGCATTGCACATCACATCCCCCCCCCCCCGCCCCCAACACCTTGTCATGTCATGCGTTCATATCCAGTAAATAAAACCTGAAATCATTACATGTTGGCATTATCTCCTCACATGAAGCTTCATGCAGTTTAAGCTTCCTCCATATAGCTCTATGAACAGTTTTATAACTGTGGTCAATAAATGATCACGTCCTGCCTTGGGTTAGCCTAAAAAAGAAAAACTAGATAAAACTTGAAATTTTAGAATGTGCTTTAAAACATCATGTGAAATGTTTATTTTCTTTATTTTTGATGCTACTTAAAGGATTATAAAGCCCTTCTGTTGTCAGGCAGAACTACATTATTCAAAGATGATAAATAGCCAATTATTATTAATCTCCTGACAACACAGAACAATAAACAAGAACACACACAATCTCCCTACAAGCCTACATCAGGTCAGCTATAACTGAGACACACACCAGCAGAACAACATCACGTTCTTATCAACGTAAAAACTGAAGATGAAGGAAAAAATGTTGTTTGGCCAAAGCAATTAAAAGGAAAATAATTTGCAGTGTCTCTCAGTTTCTCTATGGAGTGATGGTCTGAATGGAACTGAAATCATTTCAAAGTATACTTAGAAATAAGGTTAAATACACAAAAAGTAAAGTGAAAATGAGGTTTGTGTGACGTGAAGGAAGCAGGGCCGCAGACCTCAGGGAGGCCGACCGTCCAGCTCTTTAAACTTGAATGCAAAAGTGAAACCAGATACTTTTCAAACAGTGCAAGAATTATGTTGAAATTGCTCGGCTGAATCTTGTGGATTTATTATGTATTTCTAAAAAATGGGGAAAAGTTATAGGCTACTTTACGTGCATGTGTGAAAATAAGAAAACTAAATTATCATGAATGTTTAGACTGGAAAAAAAAATCATCATCAACATGGAAACTTTATTTTAAAAAAAAGAACAAAAGAAGCTTTACTTGTTTGTGAGACTTGGTCCAGAGGTGTAATGGTGCTTCATTCTGCTTTGCACCAAGTTTCATTAAAGTTGGGCTAATACATATTAGCATGAAAAACTGAACATCATTATGGAGGAAACCAAGATGGTGAAACAAACAAACATCATGAATTGAAGGTTAAATATGAAAGATGAGTTTTAATAATGATCTTAATTAACAATGCAAAAATAAAAACAAGTGATAGAATTATGCTTCAATCAATCTGCAGTTTCTGTTTGTCAATTCATCTTCAGGGCTAAAAACACACAACACACACGCGCGCGCACACACACACACACACACACGCTGCAGGGCATGAACAACATTGTCGGAGAAGTAAACAACCTAAAGCCAGGCAGGTTGTCCTTTTTTCTACACTTTTCTCTTTCTCTCTCTCTCTCTCTCTCTCTGTCTGCACCTTCAACATCTGAGCAACCGGCTCCACATCCACAAACACGTTAATTGACGAGCGGGAGCTTTAATGAAGGCGCGCACACGCGGAGCAGATTAGAGGCCAGAGGAGAGCGGGAGCGCGCACTAATCGGCTGTCAACAACAGCATGAGGACATCTTTCTTTTTTCTTTTTTTTTTTTTTGCTCCCTCCGCAACCGCGGGATCACCGGGGGATTCAGGCAATTTAGGAGCCACAAAGGAGCTGGTTTGAGACAGGAAGAGAAGAAAAGAGAGAGGCGGACTTTTTGTCTGCACGTTTGAATTGATTGTAAATGGGAGATTAGCGGGGAAGCTTCACAAGTGCCCGATCGAGGAGGAGCGAGAGAAAGGGACCAATTAAGTCCACCAAATGTTAACTTACATCAGTTTCCCCTCAGTTTAGCCCACATGAAATTCCAATTAAAGCGTCCCCGCAGCAGCAGCTTTTTCTCTCTTTAGGGGAGGAGAGGGTGGAGGGGTGACGACAGTTTGTGTCATTATACAGGCTGCAGACAGCGTTCCCACAACATCTGATTATATTAACCTGCAGGGCTCTGCAGCAAAGCAACAATAATACTTAAACCCCATATAGATCATTCCATAAAGTGAGCAGGCTGATGGAGGTAATTGGTCAGACTGAATCATGACGTCAGCCCAGCAGAATTTTGTCTTCAACTACTGCAGTTCTAATTGAGATTTTATACCCCCTAAGGATTTTGTTGTGAAGTTTAAACTATTTTTTATATACTAATAACTATTTTTGCTCTCTGGATTCAGAGTTAAGATTGTTTATTCAGCATTCGTTATTTTAACTTTTTCATTATGTTTGTCTCCATCCATCACTTCCTTTCTCCTCTCTCTAACCCACTCTATAAGCCGGACACAGTTGCGGCAGATGGCTGTTCATCACGAGTCTATTTTCAGCTCGAGGTTTCTTCTGTTTATCTTTATTGAACCGTTTTCTAACCAGGTTGGTCCCATTGAGATTAAGAACCTCTTTTCCAAGGAGGACCTGGCCGACACAGGCAGCAGCAAAAACACAAAGTTACAGACGGAGACACAAAGAGAAAATACAAATTTATAAAACACTTAAGTTTCCATTAAAAGAGAAAAACCATCTTTGAGTCAAAATCTATAAGTCAGTAGTTCAAGCATTCGAGCTAAATGCACCGACCTATAGAATCATGTCTCCATCTGTCTTTCCTTTTAGATTTAAAAACAAGGACTCAAGCTCCTTGAGTTTTAAG